AGTAAAGTACCCAGATAGACTTTCACATGTTTCTTACAACGCGCGACAATCTGAGAAAAAATATTAGAAAATCTATTTGTCTTCTTCTATTTGTCTATTTGTCTTCTTATATTTTCTTCTCTCAACAGATAGACTTCAATTATCACAACATGAAACTCTAGAGAAAGAATGAGAACTCTAGAACTGTTTCAATTACACTTATAGGGTAAATATACTGCATTGAGTGAATTATTAAATTTCCATCATACAATAATATACACTTTTTGTTATACTTATGCTGCTACAAACTTACTAAAGGTTATACTCACATTTCCAAGTACACGTGACATATTATTTTCAAAAAATTTTGTTTACGTTTCAAATTTTTATTTTGCTATAGATAAATGGTTAGTGATATGTGTGACTCATACAGGACACAATCTTTACAAATCGACCAGTAAAGTTGCCACAAAATTCACGTACAATTGTCTATCTGGGTAATAAATAATAAAATAATTGAATAATAATAACATTAACGATCGACTCCTCTCCGGTCTCGATGCGAGTATGTTTAAGATACAGTATGCCGATGGGAGGGAGGAAGAAAAGCCGGAAACTGGCATTGCAACGCTTTGAATTCTATATGACAGGTCAATCTCTACGGCGAAGGAACCGAATTTCAACCCCCTGGCACGCAACGCGAGAGAGAGAGAGAGAGAGAGAGAGAGAGAGAGAGAAAGAGAGAGAGCAACCTCTCCTTGCACGAGTCAGTCGCAGTGAATCCAACCAGTCCTTAAACGACACTTGAGGTACAGCAAGTCAACATGTCCGAGGAAGAGCGAAAAAGAGGGTGACAGAGATCTCTACTAGCGTCGCTCGCTCGTCGCCGAACCTTCGTGACGGACTCGATTTTCGTGCGCGTAATAACCGTGCCGTACCGTATCATACCGTGTCGTATCGTGCCGTCACGACACGCCGCTTCACTCAAATAACAGCCCGAAGGAAGACCCGAGGGTGGTGCGATCGGCTTCACACTTTTCCTTTCCCCGTAGCGTCAATTTTAATATAATCGCTCCTCTCGTACAATAAACGTCTCGGGACCGACTTGAGCAGATGAGCTCTCGCTTCCCTCTTCCCTACCCCTCTCTCTCTCTCTCTCTCTCTCTCTCTCTCTCTCTACTTCTTGCTCGCTCGGGTTGCACGTAACGGCTCGTCATTACGGAAGTTATATGGTTTAATGAGGAAAGTGCGCGACTCGTTTGGTCGTTATTAAACTCGGGTCCACCAGTGTGTTTTGCGCGGACGTAAAAACGCCCGCGAGCGAGAAGTGCGTTGAGGATGCTTGTGCGAAACGCGACGCGATCCTCGGCCGCGATCCGTCGCACAGCGCCGTAGATGTACGTCCCACCAGCCAGGGCTGTTATATGCGCCATATCCGTCGGAATGTATGGCTCAATTATAGCCGGTAATTAGTTCCGTTGGAACTTTAAGGGTGCACTCAATCATGCGAGAGCGTGTGCAATTATCGTAGCGCGCGGAGGTACTTTTTACTTCTCTCTCTTTCTTTCTCTCTCTTGCTCACTCGCTCACTCTCATTCCCAAATTACGCATTCACTGCTGGCAAGAAGGTGTAATAAATGCCAGGAAGAGACCGGCTAATCTCTCTCAGTGTTCCGACAATGATAGGAAAATCGTCAAAATTCATAATTCACGCGCACGCGGGTATTATTGCTGCAAAGTGGCACGAAACATCCCTTTCATTACCTGTTTATAACGCGTACCCGATTCTTTCGCGACATCCACGCTCGATTATTCCGGTATCCGCGACGAGCTGTATCGGCTTCTCGTCGCGCTCCAATTTTAGCCACAAAGCAAAAAAGCGGGGGCAAACGTGGAGACGCACTAATCGAATGACAAACGCCAAATTCACGTAAACGATACCAGGGCGACGTGGAGGCTGGGACGGTGGCGGGCGCGGTGCTGGGGGAGGCAGAACGACGAAGAGGAAGGGAGTCTCTGTGTGTGTCAGCCTAGTAGTAACCGAGCTGTCGGGCATAGAAATCCAATCCAGAGTGCCGTTTTGTGGAGACCGGCGGGATTTAAGGGACTGGGGATGAGGGTGGTGGGTTTCGCTGTTGCATGAAAGGCGAGCCTCTAGCGTCGCCGTCGCCGTGCCTCCCCCGCGGGCGCCTCGTCACACTTTCTTCCTTCTCGCGTGTCCGCGCGCGCGCGCGACAGGATACGTCGGCTGGATGTATCCGGATTGGAAATTGGCAGCACATCTCGGGCACCGTGGCTCCTTTTATGGGTTACTTACTCCGCTCCGGTAATATGCGCGGATAAAGAGGATTTCGAGAGGTACATAAAAATCCATCGCGAATTCTCTGTACTTTGCGATTCTCCTCCCACTTGCCCAATCCCCAAGGATGGTTAGGGGGGAGCGGCGGGCTTCTCATGGTTTGCTTAATGGCTCATCCCTTATATAACGCTCGCGGCCCGTTTACGACGCTTTTTGTGAGCCGCTGCCGTTTTAAGAGCGCGCAGTCATCAATCCGCACTCGTCGTCTTTCGAGATAGCCGAATTGTTTGCGCAAAAGCACACGGGAGATTAATGTATATGGCGAGAAAAGAGAGATGGGAGGAAGGTGTACAGCGCCGTGAAATATCAGAATTCGTATAAAATATTCATGGGAGAATACGCGCGTGGAAATCCGCGCGCTTTCGCGAACATATTCGCTCATGAGGGCAAAAATAATATAAACAGCCTGACCGATCGATTTTAATCGAATCGAGGAAGAGAGGAGGGACAAATAAATTTGCCTAAAGTAATTGAATTCGACACCCCGAGCGAGGTGGGCTCACCCTCTAATAATCCTTCACTCGCAAACGCCTTAATAACAAAAGGAGGCAAACAAACGATCAGAACTGTAAGTGACGTTCGTCCACCTCCCGGGCCAAAGAGTGACGGTGTCTCAATTTTCCGATTCATTAGAGAAACCCAATCCGATATAACGGCGTAATCGAATTTTCTGTGTCGCTAATGCGGGTGATTTACGACGCCTCGTGCACCATTACGAGCGTGGTAGCGCGAACGTTCCCTCCTGAATCGCTTTCTGTTTGTCCGTCTGTCCGTTCATCGCGGTTAATTCCAGTTAACGACGCTCAACATGCCGCTAGGAGCAATTCACACTTAATACAATTCGTCTCGCAACACCAAAAGTCTGCCCTTTTCAGCTGAACTAGCCCGGATAGACAGGTGGACGTAAATTGACAGCCACTTCACTAGGCGATTTGTACACGGAGAAGACAGAATTTGATTGGATCAAGCAAATTTCTGGTGAAATATGGACAAGCCAGAAAATCCCGGTTGATGTTACTAGAATTCTGTTCGAGTTAACTACATGGAAAGAATAGATTTGTTACTTATAGACAACTAAACATAATTTGCTATGTTAGCCACTTTTTCTTTGCTGCAGGAGCTAATTTCCTTGCTAGGATAACAAGAAAATCTGCTCCTGTAACAAAAAGGTAGCTAAAGTAGAAAATTATGTTTATTATAGTTATTAATAGTTGTCCATCTGTAGCAAATTTGCTGCGTTAACCAGCAAATTTTCTTACTGTAAAAGCAAATTTTCTTGTTATCATAGTTAGGAAATAGATTTTTGTAGCAAAAAAAAAGTAGATAACACAGCGAATTATATTTAACTGTCCATATATAGCAAATTAGTTTGTTGCTACAGCAAATCTTTTTTTTTAGGAATTTTGTCAACTTGAACACAATTCTGATAACAACTTTGACCGAAATTTCTGATTCGTAGATATTTTATCAGAAACTTGCTGAATCTAATCAGATTTTTTTTTTCGTGTAAAAGTTACGCGCCTTATGAATGGTTTATATAATGCTCATATTTACTACAAAAAATATAAAATGACAAAATAGAAATACGAGGAAAATGATCAATTTGTTGTAAACAATACGTCACGCAACTGGAAAATCTGAATGCAGCTTTTAGAAATTCTATTGCTTTGCGCATCAGTAAAATATCACAAAAATATTGCATTACGATATATGATGTAAGATCAACGATTAATTCAATACAGAATATCCAATATAGTATAATATAAATTTAATGTATGTATGGTCAGTTTAAGACATGTATAATTCAGTATATATTATATATGTATAAATATAACTTTGAAAAGTTTCCACTATTGAAACGTTTCTCAAGTCATGACGTGATGATTATGGAAATCTATCTGGAAGAATGCATCTGGAAGATCTAACAGATCTAACAGATCCAGGTCATATAATAAATCTCACACTTAGAGAAAAAGATATAATGATGGCGACTACATAGACGACAACTATACAAGTTTTATATGTAGAATTAATAGATATAGTTTAATAAACTATTTTGTAGTTGTTGTTACTAGATTGCTTACTAATTGCAATAACTATAAAATATAGTTTATCAAACTATATACATTACAATCCTATATAATTCGTATAGTTGCTACATATATAGTTGCCATCGCCATGTTTCTCTCAGAGTGCAAACGATTTTACGCGAAGGATTAATTATATTTATGAGGTAAATATGCTGTATCGAATTAATCATTAAATTTACATCATACAATAAACATTTTATCACACTGATGCAGCTAAAAATTTACTGAAAGTTGCAGATTTCTCCATATTACATTTCGCATACGTTGCAAATTTTCATCATTTTTCCTATCTCTATTTTGTCACACTCTATGTGATAAACATGAGTACCGTATAATAAACCACCACAATAAGGGACGCGCTCTTTACAAATCGAGTAAAGTTGCTGTCAAATTTATGTAATCTATCTACCCGGGTATACCCCGGATTATCATCCAGACAATTATTCTTGATAGATATTTTCATGAGTGATCTCAAATTTTGGTACTGTATGAAGTACCAGCGTTGAAGGGAACAAGATGGAAATTCCAGTGCAGCGCTAGTTGAAGTAAAAAGAACCGGCCTCTCGACTCACCTTACACTTGGGATACTCTTCGGCCGGAGCTGCTCTCTTCCAGCCGAGCAACGGCGGTATGCAAACGAGCGCCGACAGCAGCCAGACGAGAGCAATCATGAGCGCCGCGCGAGCCGGCGTCCGCTTCTTCAGGTAGTCCACCGCCTGCGTGATGCTCCAGAACCTGTCCAAGCTGATCAGGCACAGGTTCATGATGCTGGCTGTGCACAGTAACACGTCCATGGCGGAGTAAATGTCGCACCACCAGTAGCCGAAGATCCAATAGCCCATGATCTCATTAGCCAACGAGAACGGCATGATTATCAGGCCGAGAAAGAAGTCCGCGACCGCGAGGCTGGCGATGAACCAGTTCTGTATGTTCTTGAGCGCCTTCTCCGTAGCGATCGCGATTATCACCAGCATGTTGCCGACGATAATGACGATCATGAGCAAGGTCGCCACGATAGACGCCAGTATGATCTCCGGCACAGTGTAGCCCGACGGGTAGACGCCCTCGCCCACCACGATGAAGGTCTCGTTGTACATGCTCATGTTCCACGGGTAACGCGGCAGGCTCGTGTTCAACGACTCGTTGAACGCGCCACCGGTAATATCCTCCATAATGTCGCCGAAGCCAAACAGCAGCAGATCCTTCCCGTATTCGATCGCGACTCCGTCCACGTTCCCGCCGTCTTCGTCCACCTCTGTGCTGTTCGATATACTCGCGCCTACACCGACTACGGTCGTGCTGCTGCCTACGTCGCTTACGTCGACGCTTTCTTGGCCGCCACCACCCCCGGTGCCTATCCCCGGCACGTTTTCTTCGCCGGCAAATGCAGTTTCCGCGCTCTTGCTCGCGCCTACGGTGTTGCCGCCGCAAACTCGAGTTTCCGAAGTCTGAAGGCCGCAACGACGCCGGGAAATCTTTCTCGCCGTCGTCGTCGTCGTCGCCTCTTCCACCGTCGCCGCCGCCGCCTCCTCCTCCTTCGCCGTCGTCGTCGTCTCGCCCTCCGGCCCCGTCGTGATGTCGCGCACGCTGGTCTCGATGTGTTTTTCGTTGTTTCGATCGTTCACGCCCGAGCCTCCAACGGGCCCGCCGATGAAGGGCCGACCTTCGCGATCGTTGGTAGCGGCCCAACGTCGCACTTGCTCGCCGTTCGGAATCGCGGTTCGTGTCGAGAGGGCCTCGTAACTCGAAGACGTAGCGCCGCCAGCCGGTCGAGACCACGTCATGTTCTCCTCGAGGACGCTCGTGGACGCCGTTGTCGCGCTATCGACGGCGATGGTCATAATGCTGCCGAGATGCGGCATCACTCGCACCCTCGCCGGGTACTGTAGATGCTATCTCGGTAAGGATGACGCGGTGGTAGCGGCCGCGCGCGAGTAGCAACGTGCCCCGGGTGCCAGCTCGAGTAGCAGCAACAACAGGAGGGTGGTAGTCTCGTCGCATCTCGAGGCCAAGGGCGTCATGCCCGTTTCAGGATAATGCCATCGCTGTCGAATACACAGATGCTGCCGGGTGCGCTGCTCTTCTTCCTCTTTTGCGCGTTTCCTCGTTCTCGTGCTGTTGGCCGTTGTTGTTGCTGTCGCCGCTGTTGCTGCTGCTGCTGTTATCGTCGCCGTCGTCGTCCTCGGCGGCAGCTCGCGCGAGATCGTCTGGTCTGCGCGTCGATAACGGTAATAACTGTCCGCGAAAGCGACGGTCGAGCCACTACTCGTCGTCGTTGTCGTCGTCGTCGCCGCCGTCGCGCCTGATCGATGCGTGGGTCTCGTGGTGGTTGCTCGAGAACGGCACCGGGGAACGGCAGTACCAAGCGACTGCTCGAGAACACGTACGTGTCGCCCTTTGACCTGAGAGACGTCGATGTCTCTCACTCTCTCTTCCACTTTGGCCCTCTCTGTCTCACTCTCTCTGTCTCTCGTTGAGACGAGAGTCTCGGAGTAACGTATCGTCTTCGACGTAGCTCGTCCTCGTGGATCTTCCGCGCGCAGTATTTCTCCCTGCGCTGGTGGGCCGAGAGTCTTTTAGAATCTAGTCTGGTCGCGAAGTCTAACTAATTTCGGCGTCTCGACCGACTCCTACTACGGGGTTAAGTTCGCGCGCGAGGTGCCGTCGCCGCGTTGCCGCTTACGTTATGCTCCCGTGCGTTTCTTCCCCGTTGGTCATACGTGCTTGGTCTCTCTGATTTATTGCTTGCGACTCCGTTCCTCGTATTTCCTGCATTCACTGGTCCACAACAGACTTAATACGGACAGAGTGTGTGGAGATTTATAGATAGTCTGGCGACTTGATTAAGAGCGTGTATCAAGGTAGAAGAGAAAGAGGAATAAAGAGAGAGAAGAGGTAGATAAGACAGGAAAGAGGAGAGAAAAAGAGTGTGTATGTATGATAGTTAGATAGATGGAGAGATAGATAGATATATAGATAGATAGATAGATAGATAGATAGATAGATAGATAGATAGATAGATAGATAGATAGACAGATAGAGACAGAGAATGAGAGAGAGAGAGAGAGAGGAGGAGAAAGAGATAGTCGTCTATGAGAGAATAAGAGTAAAAAATTGGTCCCCGTGTTTTTTTTTACCTTCCCTTTACATTAAGCTTGAGCAAGCCAGCTACATAGCCTGGAGGCAAATGAAGCGAGAAAAGTTCCCTCGACAAAGCGCTGACAATCGCAGCGAGATCTATCCTTAGGACTGCAGCGACGCGCGGATCTCCCCGGAGTGATCGTCACGAGACGACAGCCGTTTCGATGTGCGCGATCGCGAGATTCCGATCGCGAGGGACTTCCGCTGATAATTGATTACGCGCCGGTTGCACTCACCCACCTTACTACGGAGACGGAAACGCGCGACCTTCCTGACACCGTCCCGAGCGCGGCTCGCTCGCTCTCTTTCTCTCTTCCTCTCTCTCTCCCCCCTCTCTCTGTCTCTCTCTTTCTCCCTCTCTTTCTCTTTCTCTCTCGATCCGATTCGGTCCGCGCGCGCCTCTCCGCGTTCCTCTTCTCTCGCTTTCTTCCCTCGAGTCCTACGCGCGGCTCGACGTTGTTTCACTCTAACGATGCCCGCGAGCTAATTAATTATCGCGCCGGGGCTAAAAAGGCTAAGCGCTGTATACCCGTACTGCTCCGACCTGCTTTTCGAATACTAATACGAAATCAGCGAGAAAAACACCGTTGATGAAAAGATCAGAAAACGACAGAGACTACGGAGAGATTCGTAAGAACTATGTACACGTATGTGCGTGTGTGCTGTTGTATGTCGTGTGCAGAAATGTATATGTGGGTGTGTGTGTGTATATATATCTACGTGAGTGGGGTGCTTACGCGCTACGTATCGTGTTACGCAAGTAATACGTATATTATGTATATTAAAGCGAGTCGCGACAGACAGACAGACAGACAGACAGACAGACAGACAGACAGAGAGAGAGGGAGAGAGAGAGAGAAGAGACTCGCGATGCGGCCTCGGGCCGTATGCCTTGCGAATAAGCGTTCCGGAAATGTACACGAGTGTGTCGGCGATCTATCAATCGCACGCGTAGGCAAAAGCGCACGGTACACCCTTAATCTAAGCACTATCGTCGAATAACGGGACAACACACGTGGGGCTGCGACAAGTGAGCCGCTACATAATATATGTGGCGTCGGAAGCGAAGAGAAGAACGCGGGAGAAGCACGGAGAGCGAGAGCAAGCGCGCGGCAAAGAGAAAGAGAAGGAGAGAGGGAGAGAAAAAGAGAAAGAGAGAGAGAGAGAGAGAGAGAGAGAGAGAGAGAGTGAGAGAGAGAAGAAGAAGAAGAAGAAGTGAAGGAAAACTGAGGATTTGGAATCGCGGTCTTTCGCTGGAAAGAATACGACAACTTCCCTGTATGTACACCTATTTACACGTCATTAGACCTCATTACTCCGCGACGACGGCCACGTGTAACCCAGGTAACTCGTTCTAACCCTCCTTCATTCGGCGCACTAGGTCATCGGGTTAAGCGGACCCATCTGAGAGTTCACTCGCGACTTCCGAGCCGAGCCGACGAGAGAAGCCTCCGTCTAACGCGAGTCACCGTGGCGGCCACGCGAGCGACGAGGTGGTGGTGCCGGCGACGCAAAGGTGTTTACTTGGTGGACGTGGTCGCGCGAGCCGGTCTCGTGTCGGAGAGGACAGTGCCGCAGCCGGCTGCTATTCGTCGCCACCGGGGACAGCTGGGATCTTCGACGACGTTGGTATCCGCGTCGAGACGTCTCTTTCTCTCCCCTCTCTCTCTCTCTCTCCCTCTTTCTCTCTCTCTCTCTCTCTCTCTCTCTCCCTCTCTTTCTCTCTGTCTGTCTGTTTATGTCACCTCGTTGAAAGTTCTTCCGCGTCGCAGACTCCTCAGCGGATTCGGGGTTAGTTGGCGCGGCAAGTGGGAAACGAATCCTCCCCGACGATTTCAGTTCACAAAGCTGTTTCCGCGCGATCGCCGTCCAGAAGAGCCCTCGTGCTCCTTCACACAGCCGTCCGACGTTCCTCTCTCTCTTTGGCCCTCTCGACTTGTCACGGCGCGCGCGACGACTAGCTGAGGTGTGGTAGTCAATAACCCTTAATCTCTGGTCTCCCCGAGTTAACGCGCGACTGCCCGCTCGCCACCGAGATGTCCGATTGCCGCTCGCGACGACCTGCACGGTGCTACCTCTTCCATCGGCTGTGACAGTAGCGGAGGTTCGCTTTCACCTGAGACATCTCGCTCCTGACGGAGGAGCGCGCCTGGTCTTTCGGCCGAGTCGTGGTCTTCGCGCGCGCGAGCCACCTTTCTCACCCCGGCATTTGTTTATTCCAGCCGAGTCTGTCGTACGAGCGCCAGTCGCGTGCACAGACCTTCTCTCGAGGCGAGACCTACACTTCAAACATTCCGTCGCGACGATTCGCGTTAACCCCTTCGGCGACAGTCCTCCACTTCAAGCAGCCCCGCTCGGGCACCGAAATCGCGCTTGCGAGTTGGACGCGTCGCGAGTCGGCATCATTCAGACCGAGATCCAGTATTCGCGGCGCACTTGGATGCGGAACACGGCGAGCACGAGGTCTCCCCGAAGCACACGGCACAGCTCCCTCGGTCTCACCCCCGACAGTCGGCACTAATCACTCAAAGTCCGAGTCCCGGAACGAGCGAAGGAACGGCGGAGGTTGTTCGCGACGTTCGGCTGATCCTCCAGGTAATCGGCGGTGGGTGTCCCGTTAATTACGCTGGAACGACAAGACGCGACCGCGTGCGAGGGGAGAGATTGTCGCGCACGGTGTTTGTGTTGACACGAAGGTGGCAAGGAGTACAGGTCGCGTGGCGGGCTGTTCAGCGGCCCAGCTGTCTCTCTCTTTCTCTCTCTCTCTCCCTCTGTCTGTCTTTCTGTTCGACTTGTCGACGCCAATTAAGAGGATCTCCGGGGAACGTGTCGGCCCTCCGCCTCGTGTCTCCTCGGCAGCGTGTGCATGCGTGCGCGCGTGCGAGCGAGCGAGCGAGCGAGCGAGCGGCTCGAGGTTGTCTCTCGTGGGTGTTTGCGAACGCACTGCAGCCACTGAGGGACGAGCCAGGAACTCGGACTCCCTCTCGTGTCGTTCGGTGGATGGAGACTCTCGCAGGATGTCGGTGGCGAGAGAGCGAGAGAATGTACGTGCCCGCGCGCGCGCGCGCACGAGGGTTGCGTGCCTGTGTGGGTGTGTAAATTTTTATGAGTATATGTGTGTGTGTGTAAGTCTGTCTGTGTTCGTCTGCGAGCGGGTGTAAGTGTGTAAGTGCGCCCGGTGTATGTAGCTTGATGTATTGGTGTGTACATGTATATGTGACAAGGGGGAACGTGAGGGAGGGAAAGAGAGCTTGCTTGGCTCACTGGAGGCTGACTGTTGGCCCGACCGATCGCTCCGTCCGACGGTACCAGCGTCGGGGCGCCGTCTGACGGAGCCGCGGAACCTGCGGCGCAAGCGTCGGGACGCCACCAGCACCCGATGGAACCGTCGCGAACCGACAGTCGACTTTGGACCATCGACCGATCGGTCCGCAATGAAATTATGCCACCACACCGAGCTCGCCGCGAATAACCCTGCGTTCCAGCCAGGCCACCGATTCCGCTGTGCGCTGCGTTTTTCGCGCGTCGAGCCTCGTTACTGTCGCGGCTCACCACTCTCGGGACATCACGACTCGTCCCGCTGTGTCGTGCTGTTGATGGAGGCTCTCTTTAAATCGTACGATACTCCGCCACGTGAAAACGTTTCATGAAACTCGAATCTGCTAGCAATTTTACTGGTCGATTTGTAATGCTTGCATCTCTTGTAAATAATTTGTGTCATTTATCACATAAAATGATGAACCAGACGTAAGCGTGAAGCAAATACGGAAAGATTATCGAAATTTGTTCAAAACAATTTCATATGAAATGTAATGTAAAAATTCGGGTGTGATTTTTCGCAAATTTGTAGCTGCGTCAATACAGCAAACGATTTGCATTATTACACATGACGCATTTGCATTATTACACATGAAATTTAATAATTGATTCGATATAGCATACTTGAGTCATAAATCTAATTGAAATTAATTACATTTATAAATGTAATGAAAGTGTAATGTCTTGATAACAATGTAGTTGACAATTTTAATTGTCTTGATTAACAATCAAGAGAAGAAGAGATATTATCCAGATAAATAGATGTACATAAATTTGACAATAACTTTATATGTACTAATTGATTTGTAAAGCTTGAATTTCTTATGATTGATCCATATAGTACTCATTTTTAATATAAAATGACAAAGTAGAAATACAACCGATGTACGAAAATAATTATAAAAATTTTCTTAAAACAATGCATTAAGTATTTTTAATTATTCGATTTCTCAATAAGTAACTAATCCTCTCTGAATTCCCCGACCTAATTTATTATTATCTGACTCTTGGAGGACCAATTGATTTCCGAGGACCGGTCGAAAATCACGATTAGAGACAACACGCGCGACGCGAAGAACCGGAGTGATATCCATTAAATGGGTAAATATCAAACGCAACGTGGGTAAATATTTAAATGCGAGATTTTAATTGCGCGTATATTTCGCAAGATAATGAGTGCCCCGCCGTTAGCCCATTATATTATTTCCAGGAGTAACACGCGGTACACGGAAAAATAAATTAGTGCTTAAGTGTAGCGCGTGCAAAATGAAAAGCGCGCTTGAAAATTCCATGCATTCATAAAAATTTCCTCCCGACAGTTAGTATTATCCGCGAGCAAGGGAAAATACGACATGTGTAACGCGCCCCGTTTCCGCTTTCGCGTTCGGATCATACTCGACGGCCTTGCGGCACGAGAAGAGCTCGATAACAGTCTCAGTTACTCGACGAACGATACGGATATGCGTGAATTCGCGCGGCGCAACGGCCGGGAAATCACGGCGGAGGAAATAACGCGAAGAAACGGTTCCTTCGCTCCGTCACTTTCGATATCGAGCTCGCTTGCAGTTTCCTCGCTCAATTAAGCTCATTCAAGTTAGAGGAAAATGCAAATTATAGACCCTTAATGGCGACACTAAAATGAAATTGCTATCTTGGTCTTTTTGTCGTCTATCTGTGTAAAATAGAATGTCTGTCTGTCTGTGTGTTCTCTATATACTCCTTTACACTTCGACCAATTTGGGCCAAACAGTATGACCAAATTCCACCTACTTTTTTTCCAGATAAAACTTTTGACTACGTTTTGCACTTAAATTAAAGCTTCCAACGCGGAGATTACAAATACGTAAATGCCAAGGCGAACGGAGCTACCGTTCCAGAGAAAATAGTTTATTTAAAATTCTATCTTCACTTGATGGCGCTACTGATTTTAATAATATAAAAATAAAACTAAGGCGCGCGCGCACACAGAAATAAACATTTATCCAGATTAGTCTTAACATTTATCCAGATAAGTCCTTTTAGTGAGCTCAGTGACAATTTTAAATAGATTCTTTGGATTGACTTAAATGGATCATACACTGAGAAAAATTCTCCGATAAAAAATTAACAAACGAATATTTCAACTTAAAACACCAATAAATTTTAATATTCAATCAGGAAACCCGATTAAATTTAATCAAATACTTCCGAACATAATTACATTACATTTCATCAGATAAATCGATCAAAAAATTATGAACCTCATAAAATTATGATATTTTTCAACGAATGTTTCCTGATCATATATAAAAATTTATCAGTATTTTGATCGGAAATATCAGTTTGTTAATTTCTTATCGAATAAATTCTCTCAGTGTAAACTCTCTTTTGTTCTCAATTTTTATTGTATTTTACATGTGCAATAATTGCTCGAACCCACACATGAGTAGTAACAATCCGAGATAAAACAAGAAATGTTGAGCGACTGAAAACTCCGCCCGCTTACATATTCGTAATTAACGCGTCAAAAGCTTCAATTTAAATCCAAGATGGATTCATAATTTGTCCGGAAAGAATTGGGTGGCATGTCTATATGGGTACTTGGCCGCACTCTTTTAAATAGTTACTTTCTAGGAACCTGCAGAAAATATAAGCTACACGAAACCTGGATACCCCACTCGCTCTCCCTGATCTCATCCCTTTGGCACTTTGTGATAACTTAAGTTGGGATTTTCTAGATATAAGAAGCCCGGGCAACGTCGGATAGTTTAAGCTGGTTAGTAATAGGTCATGTCGGTGTTCGACCTTCTGATAGGGACAATGTGTCTACAATAAAGGAACAAGCGACAGCTCGTGTCTCTCGCGAAAATTTCATGTTTGCGTTAACATTTGTCACGCGTGCGACGTGGCTGTCGATTCACATCTAAGGCGCGTATTAATAGTTGTCACCTGAAACTTGTTTCAGGTTTTCACTCAGAGTTATATCCAAGCTTCTCTCTCAGTTGAATTATAATGTATGTGACATTTGTGTATCTACAATCGCGACTCAACTGAAAAGCTCCCATCTAACTTTGAATTCAAATCTGAGTATCTCACTTGAGACGAGTTTCAAAAGTAATAACCATTAATATGGGCCTAAGAGCGGCTCTCTCCTCGCTTCTCGTACGTGTCTCTATGGGCGTTCGCTTCGTTCTGTCGACTCGTCAACAGCAGCATTCTATCGCAAACGCCAACGACGCTTCTCGACCGACAATACTCGATTTCGCGAATTTGCGCGAGCGAGCGAGTGAGCCCATTAAAAACATATTTCGTCCTCACGTAAGCATGAATGAAATCCACGAACATATCAATTCGCAAGCGCGCGCTTCATTTCGGCTGATTGCGCAATGTAGTAGCACCAAAAAGCGGAGACTTTTACTGCGAGATTTATAAAATTGCAAACTCGTGAGAACGCTGCGTGCCCTTACATTTCAGGAGGTTACAGGACCCTGACAGGAGTAAAAAATTTAGGAAGTTATAAAAAGTTGTAAATTAATAGGAGTTGAAATTTTTCGTTATGTATATGCATTAAGTACTTTTTTAACGATATAACTGTATAAATAAATTTTTATGGAGAATGTCAACATTATTTCAATTCTGTTCTGCAAATGAGTCATGCTTCATTAACTATCCTGACCTCAAGAGACAAATGATCTAAAATTAGTATCAATAGACTTTTTTATTCATTAGAGTTATAGTTATCGGTTCGCGGAGCGGATTTTGAAAGAAAAACAATATTCCGCAAAATGGGACAAAGGATCAACTTTAGTCTTTTCACTGAAAAATTCGAGCTTGTAAAATAAGTAAATAAAAAATAGTTTTGAAATTTGCGGAAAGTATCCAATAGAGACAATCATATGTCAAACATTTGTGTCAAATAGTTTTGTGTCAAAAAATTAATCGAATAAACCGTGTTCGAGTTATCGCGGTTAAAATTAAAAAAAACGCTATATCGAAAATAACACGTTTATCATGGATTCTTTTTCAAATTTTTTATACAAAGATACTGTTAAATGTACTTAATAGAAGTACACAAGAGAAAATTCGTTTTCTATTAATTTACAACTTTTTACAACTCTCCAAATTTCGGCCAATTTTTATTCCTGTCAAGCTCCCGTAATCCCCTAAAACGCGGCCTCGTGTTTCGCGGATTATCCATCGCGAAACTCGCATTTCAATGCTCTTTGTGGAAACTACATGCTCGTTTTCTCCTGCCGTTTTGTGTTTTGTTTCTTGCTTCTCGATTTTCTTGCCTCTTTCTTTTTTCTTCACCTCTTTTCTCTTGCTTTTTTTTGGCGACTACACCGCCACGCACTCCGCCCGGTAATCTCGGTAACTCATCCGAGTAGAATCCTCGATCTCCTCTTCGATGTAATTTAATTTCGTGCGGCACAAAGAGAAAGAGAGAGAGAGAGAGAGAAAGAAAAAAGTATTATTTTATAAAATAAATATTGAATTCTTCTGCATTCTTCTCCGATAGAAGTTACTCCGCTCATGACCAGCAGCGAGGGGAAGGAAAAGGACTTCCTGTTGAAAATGGACAGTCGCTGTTGAAAATGAAAAGATCGCTGTCGAAAACTATTATTGAGGGGAACTCGACGACGTCTTTCTGTCTTAAAGGAATCTTTGACAGAATTTTTCAACTCGCGGAAGATTCCCTCTTTCTCCCCCCTTTCTCTCTCTAAGTCTTTAGCAAGAGAAAATTACATCCCATTCTCGGAATAATGATGGGTGCTCAAATGTTCGCGCGGACGTTGGAGATCGTAAGCGCGTTTCGCTTCCGCGATTTATTGCGAACACTGGGGCAATTTGTTTATTTACTTTGATCCTGCTCGTCGAAACGTTCGACTTTTTCGTGAAAGGTAAATACGCAAGGGCGAGCCATACGAGCGGGCGAGGGCGAGCGCTGATACCGTAAAACTCTCGAGGCTCGAAATATTTTTTCATACACTTTACGACTCCTCACAGATATTCGCGGGAAATCGAATATCCGACTTCGGTATTGAAGAACTTTGTCGTGTGTCTGACCTTACACATACACTCACTCACCCATATACACGCATATATATATATATATATATATATATATATATATATATATATACACAAGGTGTCTCACACTCTCCTCCGGACATTTTGTGGACGTAGAACAGGTTAAGGTGAACATAAAAGTCCTATACCGTTTTGCGATATTCGCAATAATTATCGAGATATTAATTGCAGAAAATTTGTGAATGATCATGCAGGATATGGTAAATGAGTTATAATAGCGACGACTGCATCATTTTGCAAACAATCACATAGATTTAATTATTAATTAAAGAAGATGTGTGCATTATCATGCAAAATCGTGCAATAATCTTCTTTAATTAATAATTAAATCTATGTGATTGTTTGCAAAATGATGCAGTCGTCGCTATTATAACTCATTTACCATATCCTGCATGATCATTCACAAATTTTCTGCAATTAATATCTCGATAATTATTGCGAATATCGCAAAACGGTATAGGACTTTTATGTTCACCTCAATCTGTTCTACGTCCCCACAAAATGCTCGGAGGAGAGT